TTGTTTTATATGGTCAGATGATTTTGCGTACTTGGTGAATTTAATTTAAATATTAGTTTAATTAATTTTATTGGGATCAGCATCGGAATGTTCAGAATGAAATTAGTGCAATTTAAGCAATTTCATGCAATAATGGTTAACGCATTTATTTGTAATATGTTTGGATTAAATCTACTATTCCTATTCCAATAAATCAATAGTAGTTATTTGCCGTTTGAATATATTTTACGAGGTAATGTTGTTTTCTAACTTAAGACGTTCTCAAACATAAATGAATTCGGAATGATTCATCTCTATAAATAACGCATTAAAGGCGATTTTTGCAAATCGAGTTTTGCATGTTGAGTTCACATCGAGACGTATTTTCGCTCCGTAATAAACAATGTGCTCAAAAGCTCAGTTTGAGAATCCAATGTGTTTATTTGAAGTTCTGATATTGAGTCGACATGCTCTGTCCAATTATTCCGCTCGTTTTTTATTAACGTCACGCGATAAATATACACAAAAAATATTATGTCTATGAAAAAGTTTGTTTTGCCAGGGCGAGAGCAAAAGTTCTATTTCCACTTGGTTGAGGATCAAACGATTTCCCAAACGTACACGGTAATTTCAAATTGAATTAGGAGTTTTTTTTCTGACGTCGTCCAGGACACACATCGGTATTCATAATTTCGGGCGAAAAAGAAAATTCCCTGCTGCTTATTTTTAAAGCAAACTTAACAGTTCCGAAAGCACCCAAGAGTCGATTCAATAAAAGAACTTCAAAGAGATATTAGATTCCTGGGACTTCTTATCAAAGCTAACGCGAGAACTATATAAACCTGGAATTAAATATAAATATATGCAAGTGTATTGTGGCAAAAAATCTGTTGGGAGCCTACTGAGCGAACGAAATAACTCAATAATTAGACGAGTTGTCTGCGAGTCAACCTGCAGCAGACATAAAGACGCCGAAACGAGACTCGTTTCTTTCTTTCCGAAGCGTCATTCTTCGAGATTCATTTAGAAACGCGCACACACCGAGCGCCACAATGGACGAACACTTCTCATATATGTATATATGTAAGATTGAGCGCATTATTAATATTACACCGTCGGGGGGGTAAGGAATGCAGTTCGGCATCCACCCTCCTCGGCGCGAGCGAGCGCGTCTCCTTCTCGCGCCGTGGCGGTCAGGGTGTCCTTTGCTCGCGGCCCGGCCGCGTACCCGACGTGCGAACCTTTCCCACGAACGACTTTTTGTAAATTCCAGTCTCAAAAACCCACTCACACACATGGCACATTCGTTCATCTCACTCGGACCTTCGCGGATTGTTGCGCCGGCTCGTTTTCCTTTTGTGCGCCACGCGCTCGCTCTTGCACTCGCACGCACACACTCGCCGCTGGGAATAATAAAATTAAAAGAATAAGACGACATAAAATAAAGCTGAGTGTGCGCGCGGCGTGCGCGGAGGCGAGAGATGGAGAAAACGGAACGCACACATCGCGGGACAACAGAGTGTGTGTTCAGGATCGGGTTGGTGAGGCAAGGTCCGAGGCACGCCGAAGCGCGGCGGCTTCGCTTGATAGCTTCGCGGCGCGAGGACCGCTTACGTGGCGAACCCGCTGGAAAACAGGTAAACTTGTTTCACCGCCGCGCCGCCCGTCTCCGCGAGTGCTTCAGCAGTGCGCACCTCTCGCGTTCGAATTGGTTTCGGTTTTGTCTATTAAAAGCTCTTAAATATTTACGAAGCGCGCGTCGCGGTCTGCGAACTATCACGGGCCGTACGTACCGCCGGCGCACATGTGCGCATATTTCGCACTAGCGGATTGCTTCGAATGCGCGGAAACTTAGCGTACAAGAACATGAAGACGTTTCTTGCACATCAGAATGCGTGTATGGCTTGTGCTGTGCGAGGCGTTCGCTGGAATGTTTTCAGCGACGCGTAGATAAACCTCGTACGCACGCGAGGTTTGTTAACTTTATTAATAGAAATTGTGCGTGTGTCTATTTTTGAAATCTTACTTTTCTTTAGATCAAGACAGAGAATTTTCATCAAAAGATAGAAAATGAAGGTGCCGCATTTGACTGATTAAATTATTGTGCTATTGGAAATTTCAACAGTTTGCGGCTCGTGGCATTGTCGTTATCGACAAATAATGCCCTAAAACAGATTGATGTTGCGAACAAGCACTCAGAGCACTCGTAACAGTGTTTCAGCGTGATTATACGCGATTGCTACCGGCCCGGTCGGTACGAAACCGCCGCAATTGCCGTTAACGCTAGTGTAAAATGTGTCTGCGCGCAACTTATCGGTCGTCCGTCTGTCTGCCGGGTTCGACACGGACAACAGCGCGCATCTGGGCTGTGGTCCCTCGACTCACATTCTCACTAATTAATGTCTTCATCCGAATAGACTCGCTCGCGGGTCTGAAATATTACCGCTTCTTCAAAGTCACAACTTTCTGTCTGAATGAATATTCTTTCTGAGCTAGCATGACGTAAATACTTGTAACATTGTCGCACTTGATGACGTGAGCGTAATCAATGGCAGACTCGTGTTCTTAATTAATCAATTATTTCCAGTACGTGCGCATTCGCACATATTTCTATTACCTCATTGATATTCGCATGGTAGCAGGACGTGCGCATGCACATGCTTTGGCGTGATTTGTAGCAAGCGAGCTTTCAAACGTGAGCAAACTTCCACATACACAAACGCCAGCAGGAAAAGTTTACATAAGCACAAAGCGACTTCACCACCGCTACCGGAAAACAACAATCGTACAACTTCCTCTTTGGAGTCGTAATATGTACGACGTACAAATCGTTTTAATTTAATTCGATTGTTTCATTGCTCCAAGCCGATGCCGATGCCTATTAGGTAGATACACTGCGCGTAGACATGTGTGTTTGATGATGGAGTATTTCTATAAACTTTGCGTGGCCGCCAGTCCGAACGAGTACACCGATAGGATTTAATTAAAAGTTTAAACATTGAAAACTTCGTGTTAGGTATGTATATGTTTCCAGTGAGCGAGAAGTCTGCGTCGTTGCAAAAATATATTTAACTTTTTCAAAGCTCGGAACTTTGAAATTATTTTACGGAGGTGTATGTTTTACAATGGTATTTATAGCGTGTGCATGTGTTTGCGAAAAAAAAAGTTTCAGTTGCGGTTGTCCTGATGGATTATTAAGTCGACAGAAAAAAACCGTAACTGTGGATATTAGGAATTTCTAACCAGGTGAAAGTTTTACAAAAATTCGTGGAATTTCAAATATAAAGGAAAATATTTATTTTTTGTCTGTGGTCCTGGGTCAAATGTTGAGTCAACATCAAACATTGTATTCAATACAAACTTTTTATTCAATTTCGGCAGTGACATGACTTTTATCGATTGAAAAATTCGGTTATGCCATGTTTGGTGGCGAAGTTGCATATTTCATCCTTTTATTAGCGCATAGTCGCCGATTTATATAGCACGCAGACGTATTAACGACCGAACCATCACGTGCGCTAAAAAGGGTTTAAGCTCGCAGAGGTCCAGCTTTCGCAATTCGTAATGTGTAGGCTCGTAAGTGGGAAGCGAACGGGACTAATAATGTTTTCCTGTGCTCGTGCGGGTAGATATCGGGAACCCGGGCGCGTGTTTTATACCACGTACCGTAATATATTCGTGAATCGGCGTATCAAATTCCGATGAACGCTGCCCGACGGTCCAATTATAATTGTGCCACCGCCGCGCGCGCTCATTGATTACGCATTACATCGGACTCATACGACTATTTAACAATAGGAAGGACTATATGTATTGGTAGCCAGTGGACGTAAAATGGGTCAGACCATCATACGATTATATCTGGCTGCAGCTTTTCAACTTTGCAACTTGGGAACAAATTGATTTTTGACTAACTGTGCTTTATGCAGCCGTATATTGAGTTTTATGGTCGCACTAAATTTATAATTCCCTTTAAAAATTTTTTACTAGAATGGCATAACAAATACATTTATGCAGAACTTATTGTCATCGCTTTACTCGTTTTTAACTTATTAATAAAATCCGATTTTTTTACCATTTAAAGGTGAAGCAACTATATATCTGCTCGTTTCTATAGAGTTAAGCATAAAAAAGAAGTTGATTTTCATCAAATAAACTTTCATCGATATTTGCACCGAACGTCTCTTACCTAATTGGTAACGATTTTCATTTTGGACATTAACTTCAATGGCTTGGGCCGCTGTCGACACGATCGTGCTTTGTCTTGTTCGTATATTTCTTGCCCGCCGTGCTTACGTACGTAATAATAATATCGTGAAGAACACATGTCGCTGGCTTTAAATTGAAATAAATTGCAATTTACAAGGCTCAAGTGCTTTGCACGCGCGCGGCAGGCGAAGCCAATATACGTGTGCGCGCAGAGGGAATGGATTCTGATAGAAAGCACGCGGTGGCGACGAAGGCAAAAAAATTGTGTACCGAACGACGCACTTGCCCTAAAATGGTATTGCCAACAAGGTAGAATATACCGTTATGTAACACATTTACTTTGCGTAATTTTTTTGTAAAGGTTATGCCGCCGCTTGTGATAAATGATACAATTGAAATTTGTACGCAATAAAACGCTGTCAACCAAATGTTGTATTTAATTATGAAAAGTGCTAAACAGCAAAAAGTCAGCACTTGAAAAACCAATAGCAACGACGGCCACACTCGACGTCTAATTACTGTAAACAAGAACGCCTCGAAGGGTGATTGATGAAGACAAGTAATTTATTATCGATTCAAGGCGAAATATATGGCTTTGCGCAGGTTTTGGCGTGAAATGTGTGGTTCCGCAAGCAGAAACTGATTTTCTCCTCCGCGCCGAAGCTATTTTCAGCACGTTAAACTGCAATTCAGCGAGTGACATTAATACAATCAATGCTCTAAACTTTTGCAGTCGTGCGTAATTAATGACTACAGTGCCGCTACACTCCACAACTCTTCACAGTATCGATTGATTTGTTTCTTTGTTGCAGAACACATCCTTGCGATGACTAGCAGGTCTGAGAATAAGACGGCCGAGCTTTTCCTGAAGCTCTTCCAAGGTCATTCAGTGCACGCGACTGACACCATCAATGCGCTGTATACGGACATCAGGCAATATGTGCTAATCAACTCCAGTCAGGATGCATACGAGAACTCCAACACGGCGATTTCTACATCGGTATCGCGTTTTTTCGCCAATATATTTCCATTGATGTACCATCGCATCGGCGGGACGCCCGATAAAGATTTTACTGTGGAGTATAAAAACTGTCTGAAGGAGACGATGGGCAAAATTAAACCATTTGGTACTATCCCGACGCAAGTGGCTGAAAGCTTGTCTAAGGCGCTAGCCGCCGCGCGATTACTACTACAAGCGCTTGGCGTCGGCGTCGAGGTGCTCAATGCCACCGACACGCTAATTATTGCCGAGAATGGGCGTGGCAATGCTGAGTGCCATGATGCGCTTATGCGCATGAGCTATTGTCCAAAATGTATGGGTTTGAAGGAAGAAACAAAACCATGTTCAGGGTATTGCATGAATGTGATGCGAGGATGTCTCACCAAGTACGTAGTGGACCTGGACGCGCCGTGGAATGGATATGTGGAAGGTATCGAACGCCTTGTCACTGCGATGAAACAGCACAATAATGAAGCAGGTGTAAATGTTGATACTCTTATCAAGGAGCTGGACAATCGGATTTCGGAAGCAATTATTTATGCCATGGAGAATGAGAAGGATATCGACGTTAAGGTAAGTCTTCAGAATATTAAAATAGCACAGGCATGTGACACAAACCTAACCTAAAATTAGTTACCTATGGATTTATTTTTAAAGACATGAAGCAACGCTTTGTCAGATCTTTTGTTATAAGTTGCGTAATAGTACGATTGAAAATGTTTCTTTCACAAGGCCCAATTTCCGTTTGTTGTTTCTTTGTTTGCGTTTCGGGAGCGGCGAAAAGCGGATTGAATTGTTCTGCCCGTGCTTTAAGAAGACAATTGGGTTTGGGCGGCTGGCATCATGGGGCATTAGGTCGTCGTTAACGAACCATGTATTAATACGATTTTGAATTTATTAACGTCGACCCTGCGAGCAAATGGTTGATATGTGCTGAATTTAACTAATGTACTTTCGGAAGTGGTTCCCTGGATAGCATAAACAAGTTGAGTCTAATTTAATAGTTAAATAAAGTATTAACCTCAGTTTAGCCTGGAATTGCTTAGAAATTATTTGATATTCTTGAGTTTCGATCGAATAACAATGCTCGATGTTCAAATTATATTTCGATAACGGACAACAATGTCGATCAACAAACATAATAGAGTGCATAAATAATAATTGTGTTGTACAAATTACCATCGACCGGGAGAGTAATTTTAAGTGGATCATTGGCATTTAATGCCGCAGTCGTTTAATTATCGAAGCGAGAAATTGCCCTACATACTCGCGCATATCAGCAGTTATTATTGTCGTAATCATGAATCATGTAAAAGTGTTGATGCTATGATATTTTAATGTATCAACATCGGCATTAATTACGATTTATGCAAATTTAAACCAGTTGAACACAGTCGTAATCACTATAATTGATTGTTGAAGCATCCTCATCTTCATTAGAAATTGCACTGAAGTGTAATTTATGTTCTTCAAGATTAAATAAGAGTAAATTCAATTCCATGCTCATTTTTGTGTTTATATTACGGCGCTCTTGATTAAGCTGTTTGTATTACATGCCGGAGAAAAGCTGAAAAGCTCGCTGCATTATCCACTTCGGATTTAACTCTGTCGCCTTGCCTCACGCTGGTAAAGAGCGTGCTTTCAACTTTTCGTTCGAAGCGCTAGGTTCTAGTAGATAATTCTTTAATTGAACTGGTTGAACTGCATTTCGCTCGTTTTATTCTACTCGTATTTGTCTGCCTTTGGGGATTAACCAGCCGAAAACAATTGATTTCAACAGCCAATTAATTTTAGTTTACTTAAAAAAAGAAAAGAAAAATGATGACTAAACCAACTTAACCATTTAGGTAATTTATTATATTTCTGCTAATAATATACGTAATTTTGAGAAAGGTTTTGCGAATTGTGCAAAATTCTTCTCATATTTTAAGTTTGGGCAAAGAATTTTAACTTGCGGTTTATTTCAAAAGCATACCTTTCGAAATGAATCATCGCCCGTGTGCGTGTGCACGATCTTCAGGCGACAGATTTTATTCCTTTTCGCCAACGCCACGAATGAGATTTTCAACAAGTTTTCGGTCACTTCGCGTGGTTTTGGTTGTTTTGCTTTTGTTCGTTCGGCGGCTTTTGTGACTTTGGCATACGAGACTGTACCAACTCTAATGCAAGTTTGCTAATATATGCAAGAATGCAAAAAGACGACAACTGCAGATTGGGTTGCAGCAACAATACATACCGCGAAAAGAAGGTTTTGCGAATTCGGTTTTCGAGACGCTTTGAGCGAAAACTTATTGAAAATAAATCAGATTGAGAGTGATCTTGTTGTTTAATTACTAGAAACCCAATCAGCATTCATTAACGATTTCTTCATAATTCCCTGCATTTTGAGTAGGTACTGAATCTTGATAAATTCTAATGTTTTACATTCATTCATAACCACAGAGGTAAATGTTATGGGCTAATTTGTGAAAAATTTGCAGATTTTAGCAAGTTTCCATTTTAATTGGCAATATTGTCTACGGAAATAACATGATCAACAATAATAACTTAAATTAATGCTTATATTTAAAAATATTTTTTTTATTTAAATTAACTAAATTTCCAATTGATTACTATCAATTGCTTCAGTCGGGCTTAATAATAGGTTTTTAGGTTTATATCTTGCTTAAATATAAGCAAAGGTAATCGATACTTATTGGATTTATATCGCGCACTGCTAAAATAATTACTCAGTCGTCGCACGAAGCGCGCTCGGGCATAAAAAGATGCAGCGCATAAAACCACGCAAGATTGGATTAGCGCCTCAGCCGTAAGCTGTCCGAAGAAATTCCGTCTCGGCGTTTAAGCTTGTGCCAAAGGTGGCATCGCCTCGTCGAGTCATTGCAATAAATCAGTCTCGAATTAATTAATTGCGCCGTGCACTGGAGCGCTGTTTACGTATTATGAATGATCGTACAAAGTGCGGATAAACTCGGTGACTATTTGGTTGTCGAGGCGGGGGCGGGTGCTTTACAGGCAATTAGTCTCCAGTACTCCACAACCGCGCGCCTGCCTCGGAATATGCGTCTGTGCGAAACGGTTGCGGTTTCCGAATTCGCACGCGTTCTCAACTCACACTGATATCTTAATAATGAGCAAACCAACACACAGCTAACAAAACTGGAAACGGCTAACAATGCAACCGTACAACTTTAAGTTATTCCAACTAATTAACGCGAGACCGTCTCGTCTGCTTTGAAGCTATGGTGTTGACCTTCGCGCCGATCCACGTTCATCATCATAAATATTTATCTCCTTCAGGACACTCTTGCGTGATACAATCACTCAAACGTAATGCGCATTGATCTGGATAATTATTATTTGTTTGCTCACTGTATTAATTCGTCGTCGTTGTACGGACACGTGCTGAAAAGGGATTTAAACGTTCGTTCGCTCATTTGCTCGCACGATCGATATATTCATTCATCGCTCGACTGTGTAATTTCATGTCTATCTGGATTGAAAATCGCCGGTTGGAGTTTTAATTTGCAACTGGATGGAAAGCCGGTAATTTATGTTCCACCAGCCAGTAGCCGTGCACCTACATATTTTCGTTGTAATCATTGCAGGCACGGTAATTCAACATAAACGCTGCTGCGGGATTTTTGTCAGCAAAGCAGCAAGAAACTAACGCACGCGTTCCTTTTATGAAGCTTTTACATCCGTAAAGCAAAACGAGTAAAAGATTATTTATGCGCTTTACTGAAAATAATGAAAGTCCTTGTATTTTAAAAGCGCTACCGATTTTGACATGTTGCATATTTCTCCACTTGAATTTGCTAGGATTTTCTTTTCTGTTTTCAGGTTTTTTTCTGTTTTATCAAAGAGAGCAAATTGAGCACAATTGTTCAATTGCTGGAAAGCGAAGAGCAACGCTTTAAACATACTTTTGCTTTGCATGTTATGCGACACGGAAATATGTTTCTGAAAATGTATGTAGCAAGAAAAGTTACGAAAATCAGAAACGAATATCTCTTTCACATGCTTCGCTTCCGTCTGTTTATCAAAAGCACCAAGAAACTCTATGCGTTATAACGCGAACAAAATTCATCTCAATCATTATTTATTCACTATCTTTAAACATCAATTTTGTACATGTCACTCTATGTTTATACTTTATATCAGACTGAAAACAAATTGAAACTTAATTTTAAAACTTTCAGGTTTGCGGTTTGTAAATCTTGTGAACGAAATGATTTTCCCACAAAGTTCACGATAACTTTTTTTTATACCTTGTAGACATTCAATAAGGAAATGAAATGACTGGTTTTCACATTTGTGTATGGTAGTAACATGTTCCATTTCTTGCAATTTGCTTTGCGTCATTATTAATTCGATTAGTTATTGCATGTTGAGTAATTATTACCCGAGTAAGTGCGTTTCGCTTTTCAGCATTTGCATGTCCTAGACGCCAGTTATGCATGTGGCGGCATTGCGAGAAAGCGAAAAAATCGCGCAACTGGATCGAAGCTTATTAAAAGCAGCATGTGTACGTGATACGGGCATGCAGCATGTCCCGTTTGGCTACAATGTAATCACGCGCACCTTTCAATTACTGGCGTGGCGCGGCAATCGTGCAATCTTGAACTTGAACTAATTAGTTGGAGACTTCAAGGAAGTAGACGCGCAAAACGCTATGAGATATGGCGGGCGGCGGCGGGCCTGGATGCAAAAATGTGATTGAGATCATTTATGCACGTTTAGACGATACGTCGTTACATGTACAGGTGGAAAATCATAAGTCATCGTCGTGGAGAGTTTAATGTCGCGTCGTGTCGACCACTTACGGCGGCGCGCTCGGCGCTACTTAACCACGATAGGTTATATCCTATAATGTATGCGAATCGCGCGATTATGTAGATTAAACAATTTCCGGGTTTGTTTATAGCATTATCCACAAGGTGGAAAGCTCGTCTTGGCGTTTTATTTCTACGGGCGTGTTTTATATACGTCTTTATTAAACTTTGCCAAGAACGGGAGATTGGATCAGAGTTTAAAAAATGGCCGTAGTAAATTTTATACTCTGTCAATCCTTGCGTGAAACTATACAAATCAGATTTTAAATTCGTTATTTATTCCAGGACAACTATAAAAATTTCTAAAGCTACACATTCATTATAATTGTGTGCAATTGTGAAATCTACTGATTGTATTATGAGTGAAAACATATTATTAATGTAACGTTGATTTACGCGATAAATCCATTCAAGCATTAAGCTGGTGTTAAATCAAATCAATGCAAATGCTAATGAATAATTGAAATATTAGACATTCGATCGTGCAATTTATTTAGTATTAAATCACGCTTGAATCTGATTTTATACACCGGTCGTGCTTTATTTGTTTATTGTTCTAATACAATGTACATATTTATGTGTAGCAAATTTACATCTCTGAGCGATAAGTTTATTTAAATTCGAATTAATTAACGTGTATGATTTGTATTCTATGATTTAAATGAGCTTCGGAGGCATTAAATTATTACGTTTTGTGGTTTATTCGGACATAATTGAATCTTGGAAAATTAATAATCA